GGGAAAGAGAAGAGCTATGGAAAAGTGACTAGGGTTTCAATTGCATCAATCACCTCATTACAAGAGTAAAAGATAAATATATATAAAATAAGCAAAAAGACTAAACTACCCTTAAGTAGGGTAAAATAATAAAAATAGAAGGACTATAATATCTAACATCTCCCTTAAACTCACGATGTATCAAGGGAAATCATCGAGAGTTTGCTAGTAAAAAAAAAAGCTTCAAGTGGAATGTGATTTCGTAAACACGTCAGCAAGTTGCTGGAAGAAGAAACATAGAGTAAGGTGATGGTGTTATATTGGAGGTGATGACGAGTGAAATGAAAATCATTCTCAATATGTTTGCTGCGCTCATGGAAGACTGAGTTGTGTGCAATTTGTATAGCACTCTTGTTATCACAGTACATATGAGTTAGGCTAGAGAAAGTGACACCTATATCAGCAAGTAACCAGCGCAACCAAATAATTTCTGCAGTGGTAGATGCCATGACATGATAATCAGCTTCAGTAGAAGAGCGAGAGACAACTCTTGCTTCTTACTCTTCCTAGAAATGAGAGAATCTCCTAGAAAAATACAACATCCTATGATAGACTTACGATTAGCAGAATCACCACCCTAATCAACATCTGAGTAGACACGTAAATCCAAGGAAGAAGATGCAGGAAAGAGAAGACACTGAAATTGAGTGCCTCAAAGATAACGAAGAATGAGAAGAAAAACTACCCAATGAACAGTAGTAGAAGAGGTAACAAATTGGCTAACAATATGTACTACATAAGAAATATCATGTCTAGTGATGGTAAAATATACCAAGCTGCTAACAAATGTACAATGCAAAGTAGGATCGGACAAAGAAACACCATCAAAAGAGGTATAACGAACATTAAACTCTAGAGGAGTAGCAGTTGTCCATGTATTAGATAGTTGAGCTTATTCAAGGATGGTGCCAGTATACATAGATTTAGAAAGAAGATAACCTCTAAGAGAATGAGCCACTTTAATCCCCAAAAAATATGGAAGAGTACCCAAATCATTCATTTCAAATTATTGAGCCAATTGTAATTTCAACTCTGGAATCTCATCATTATCCCCACTAATAATCATGTCATCAACATATAAAGAGAGTATGATAACGCCATGGGAGGTACTCTTGAGAAACAAAGCAGTGTCATGTGAGCTGGAATGAAAACCAAGAGATGCAATCGCAATAAAGAACATTTCAAACCAAGCTCGAGGAGCTTGTTTAATGTCGTAGAGATCTTTCTTTAATTTTCAAGCTTCATCATGATTGTGAGAGACACCTGGTGGAGGCACCATATAAACTTCCTCTTGAAGATCACCATTTAAGAATGCATTTTTAACATCCATTTGAGAGATGTGTCACTGATACATAGATGTTATTGCCATAAGAGTATGAATAGTTGTCATTTTGGCAACAGGAGCAAATCTTTCTTTATAATCCATACTATATTGTTAAGAAAGTCTCAAGGCAACCAAACGAGCTTTATATCGCTTAACTGGCCCATCAGGCTTGGTTTTGATCTTACACACCCAATGAGAACTAATTGCACGTTTTCCTGGAGGAAGAAAGATAAGGTCTCAAGTACCTGTCTTGTGCAAACCAGAAAGTGCTTTTGTCATAGTTTACTACCAGCGAGGATCAAGAACAGCCACTTGATAGGAAGATTGCTCAGACAAATTGTGAATGAAGGTTAAAAAAGAAGCAAAAGAAGTAGAATAAGTGGAGTACATGATCCTGAAATTATAGATGCGTAAAATTAATAAAGTTGACTCTATTTTGTAACAATGCCAAAAAATTTATTCGTTATTTATGAATAAGAAATTGAAGCAATTTATGTTGGGATTCTAGGCAAGTATACGTATCATTATCAAGTAATACAAAACTTTTTGATTAAGCCACAGATATCGAACCCACGAAGGTGTAAATTCATAATGGAAATTTAAATCAGGATATTTACAATTATAAAAAAATTCTACTACACTAAAATTCAAATGTTTAGGATGCTAATAGAACTAAATTACCAACTACAAGCGAAACTGTAAAAGCAAAGCTAAGCAATAACTACCAAACTATATTTTTGTGACGAAGTTATCAAATATAAAAAAAACAACTTTCCCACTACAATGAGTTTTTGGTTAAATGAGAGAGATGAGAAAATGAGAGAGATAAATGGTTTTAATTTATCTTGTGCCAAATAGGAGCAATTTTAATTCTCTAACCTCAATCAAGTGTTATAGAGAATCGTTTGCTAATCTTAGATTTAGTCTCTAAATCTGTGGTTAGGCTGGGAGGATACTGACTCTCACTCCAAAGCTCACACTTCCCTTCCAATGAAGGCTAACTCTCTTTTTAGTTCTTAAACACTAAGACCAAATTGGGGATTTTAGTCTGTCACCTAGAATCTCTAATTCTTTGCCCAATAATATATATTTCCATATTTATTTGCACCCAATTTCATGAACAAAACACTTATTCATGGAATCGAATGTGATTCTCACTTTGTTGTGAAGCTCATACTCCATTTCTCGCTCATACTCGACTCAGACAATACCATCTCGTCGGATAGTATGTTTCGCAATAGATATTAACATTTTAATTGGCCAAATCAAAAAGTAAATTAAGAAGGGAGTGAAAAAATCATCAAAATTTATTTTATATTTTAAAAATTAGCACATCCAAATTATCTCTTCATTTCACCATATCTCAGAGCAGGGAAAAAGACAAAGAAAACTACTCAGACCTTATAAGAAAGATACGATAAAATATAAATTTCATAAATAAAAGAAAGTTTATACAACAATAATAAACAAACACCACTTATTTTTAACTCTTTCTAAAAACAAATCCCTTGTAGCTCCTCTTAGAACCTTTCTCTCTTTACAAGACTTGATTCTCTCTTCGAAGATGTAAGGAAAAAGAAATCTCCCACTTCTCTTCCTCTACAACAACTCTTAGGAGAAATCACACTTAGACTCACCACACCACACAATACACACAATTAAACACTAAAGGAAACTAATTGACACACTAACAGACTCATTTTTCTGATTAATTTCTGCTCTAAATAGAGCATAATGTCAGTTTTCCAAGATGTGTATTAAATAACTCTTCAAAAAGTATCCAAATTTGCCAAATCTTCTAGATTTTTGCCTTGCACCAACTTCAGGACTGTTGGCGCCCGCGATGGTGCCGTCAGCACTAGTGGCCCAAATTAAATTTGTGCTCTCTATCAAATGGCACCATCGGCGTCCATGCTGGCTCCGTCAACTTCTATGCTGGCGGCATCGGCGTTGAGTATTTCTCTCCAAAACGCTATTTTGACTCCAAATTCCATCATTTTTGCTTTCTTTTTGCTCCAAGTGCTAAAAATCATCAACCTGAAATTAAACATGAAAAATACCTTCATTTAAAGTACAATATCACCAAAAATGAGTATAAAATATATGTCTAAATATGCATAGATTTTTGATGCATCAAAATTCTCCAAACTTAAATGTTACTTGTTCTCATGTAACTCCTTTACTACATAAAAATATGACTTATGGTAAAAAGTTTAATGATTAGATTTCCATATTTTGGTCTACTAAATATCATAGCATAACTTAAGAAAAATTTAAAATAAATCAAATTAATAATAAAGGTATAAATTATTTAGTAGTCAATTCTAAGATTTCTAATTTTCTATTCTTTCGAGAAAACTTGCAAATTGTCATATTAAAGTCATTTAGAGGATCCATAAAAAAAAACTTCATGAAAATTATACTAGTAAATATGCTAATACCTAAATAAAAGTATGAAGAATGTAGTTAAGAATTCTTCTTTAAGTTGATTCAAGTGAAGCCAATTTCTTATTAAGCTTCTCCTCATAAATTTTTCTTTTCTTTTTCTCTTCTTTTTTTTATGTGAGGATTACTATATCTGGATAGCCTTTAATAATTTTGAACTTCACTGTCCTCTTCTTAAAGTTAAAAACTTTTCACATTCCTTCACTTTATAAATTCATATTAGGTCTGAAGATTTTTTATAAAGTTTCAATCTTTTTTTTTATGAAACTCTAAGATTCTCAATACTTAAAAAATATAAATTCCTTTACTTAAAATGAAAATATCATAGTCTTATTATTTCATACCAAATACCTTAATCTCTAGAATTAACTTTTATCATTGAAAAATTTTACTTAAGCTCACTGTATATTTAGAAACACAAATATAGTTATCTAAAGTAAGGCTCTACTACCAAAGGTCATGCTAAAAAAAATTTAATATAGCTAATTAAGGACAAATAAAATTAAGTTTCTTTCTTTAAAAAGGAATTTTTCTTCCCCCCCAAACTTAAATTTTTTTAAAAGATTAAGCATGGAATACTGAAAATACAGGGTAAAATAAAACAATTAATACATAAAGAAAAGACTTACCTGTTGAAAGTTCTGTTTTTGAAACTTAACTCTGAAATATTATAGGTGCTAATATGAAAAGCTACAAGACTTAAAATATTAAATAGAACATTATATATATATATATATA